TTAATTGAAATATATTTATTTTTTGTTATTGATTTCTTTGATATTAAATTCAATTTTAGAAACTTTTTGTTTCAATTACTGATAGTTCATTTTAGTTTAAATATAAATTAGACTTTGCTSCAATAAAATGTGCTTTATAATTTGTTAACTAGTGTGGCAGCTACAAAGAGTCCAATTATTTTCATTGGTACCGGAGAACATATAGATGATTTTGAACCATTCAAAACTAAGCCATTTGTTTCTAAACTGCTTGGTATGGGTGATATTGAAGGACTCATTGACAAAGTTAATGAATTAAAACTAGAAGATAATGAAGAATTGATTGAAAAAATAAAACAYGGGCAGTTCACAATAAGAGATATGTATGAGCAATTCCAAAACATTATGAAGATGGGTCCATTTTCACAAATCATGGTTAAGCTTTTRTTGATTTTCTATTGTTATAATTATTGTTAAAGGGACTAACCATTATTTTATATAGGGTATGATACCAGGATTTAGTCAAGACTTTTTATCTAAAGGTAGTGAAATGGAATCTATGGCTCGATTAAAAAAGCTTATGACAATTATGGATAGTATGAATGATGGAGGTGAATTATTTCAATTTTCAATATAATTTAATGTAAACTTTATAATTAACTGAACAGTGAAAAACATTTTGCTTATATTTATATGATAGAACTCGATCATAGAGATGGAGCAAAATTATTTACAAAACAACCAGGACGTATAATTAGAGTTTCCCAGGGAGCCGGTGTTACAGAACGTGAAGTACGAGAACTTATATCTCAATATACAAAGTTTGCTGGAGTTGTAAAAAAAATGGGTGGAATCAAGGGATTGTTCAAGAGTGGTGATATGTCCAAAAATGTCAATCCATCACAAATGGCCAAGCTTAATCAACAAATCACCAAAATGATGGATCCTAGGGTTTTGCAACAAATTGGTATTTTTTTTATAATTTGTAACATTATTTTTTTATTAAGCCAATGTTAGCTTATTATTAATATTATTTATTTATTATTTWTTTTTTTTATTATTAGCCTTTATAAAAATTTGGCTTGAATTATTTATTTTTATTAACYAATAAATAATACTTTTAGGTGGAATGCCAGGATTGCAAAATGTTATGCGACAGTTACAACAAGGAGCTGGAGGAGGTCTTGGTAATTTAATGGGTGGTTTAGGTAAATAAATAACTTGTAAACAAATAAACTCTTTTTCTAAAATATATTATGTACGTTTTCATCTGTATAAAGTAAGATAGATAATTATCTTGTGTAAGTTGTTTCCCTTCTCATACAATAATTACTCTAGTTTTACTTGGTATGCTGGTACCACTGATTCTAAAATTAATATTTACATCTAAATGACTCTATTGTAAGTATTTTAATACAATTTATTTATATTTTATTTTGTAAAAAGAAAAACTATTATAAGTTTGTTTTTGGTTATTAAATATTATAATATATTGCGAAAGCATAGATACTTGATTACATATTTTGATCAATGT